TTATTGGGATGGATCGCGCCCCATCGCCGACGTCTGTTGTTAACGACGCGCTCCGAACCCATTACGTATTCACTCGGTTTTAAAACCCAGTGATTTATGAACTCGCGAATCAGATACAGACGTATGTATGTAGGTAAACGATCTTTTCCCGGGTATCTGCTCTCTCGAAAATGAAGAAACCAACTGATAAGATACGTTTTCTTGGTTGCTTTTTGTTGTAGTGTAATCCATGTAGATCCTTTTTATCGGATGGATTTGATTATTGAATTTTCAATGATTTACATACTTCACGCTGTTGCGTTATAAACCAATCCAACATCAATTCCAAACACTCCGAAAATCGCCAATGAAATTTAGGCAAATGTAAAGGAAGCAGGTTATTTGTAAAATTTAGTGGTACAGGGAGGGCATAGATTGCGCACTTCTGGAAATTAAAAAGTGTAGATCCGACATCAAATGTTTAATTTACCTACATAAAACTTTGATACCAGTAAAAAATGCCGGACAAAAGCACTTTCAAACAAAAGAAAGCCATTACCAATTACCAATTCGGCAGAGGAAGCTTTAAATGCCTTTATATAAATTTGTTTTATCTCGTTTTGGAGAGAATAGCAAGTCTTTGTCTCTCTTTTTTGATTTGAGTAAAGCTTTTGATGTGATAGGTATAGAATTAATGCTCAATAAATTCTATAAATACAGGATGCGCGGAATTAGAAATCTTACCTCACTGGAAGAGAACAAAAACCAATTTAAAAAATAATGATATCTCGTTTAGTTTATCCAGTTATCAGTAGAATACCTCAAGGAAGCACACTGGGACCGCTTTTATTCATAATTATCTTTGATAATCTCAAATACTAGTTTACTTTTGACTTAACTTTTTGCAATGAAAATGGAGGACTTGCTTTAAATGACTCGACAGATTTAAATAAGAGTATTCTTGTTAAATTAAATAATAAAATGGTTAAACAATCCAGAGTTGTGAAATATCTGTGAGTCTTTATTAACAAGTGGATGCAGTACTTTAAGAAACCGTTAGTTTATGCATTTTGGTATTGGTATCTAAGAGGGGCACTTAGGCTACCAGATGGACCCGTTGTGTCCTCAGACCGCGCTAGAGGGCGTCCGGAATGCCGCCCCTCTTATAGAAGGCCAGCAACTCTTTTACCGTGTGAGTCCGGATCGATCATGGCCGTTCCGAAGACTCCAAATCTTGCCCATGTCAAAACAGGGCACTTGGTGAGCAGATGATACGGGGTCGGGGTCTCCTTCCCTTCCGTGCACCACCTGCACTCCGTATCGTCTTCAATGCTTAGCAAGCAAAGCCTAAGTCTGCAATGTACTGTATAGGCCCCTGTTAGCGCTCTACACTCCCTTCTGGATAGTCCAAGCAGCTCCCTGGTCTGAGGGAGGGCGGGCCCATTTATCGTAAGCCTCGCCTGCCTCATTCCCGGAGCAACCATCCAGCCCACCACGGCCCGTTCTCCTACCCAGACTACGAGAGCCCCCCGCCTCACGCACAGGGCGATACCCAAGCTGGGCTCTGGTCCCATATGCCTGTGCGAGGAGTCCTCCCTGGCTAAAGGGTCCGCTGCCTCATTGCCCCGGATCCCGGTGTGACCCGGGACGCAGACCAACGTGATATTCCTCACCTCGCCCACTTTGCTCAGTACCCCTTTTCATTTCTTTATGAACAAGGACCGCGTGCGCACTGACTTTAGCGCCATCAGTACAGCCCTACAGTTTATGCGTATGTTCTGTGGTAATTGATATATAAGGTTGATGTTTAGCTTCTGTTATTTGACTATTATGGCTACTTGTCATATGCCATCAGAGCACAAAAGAGAATTCTGAGAATTGTTTTATTTAAGCCATATACATACTCTTGCAAAACATTATTTCCTAAATTAAATCTATTAACGTTCCCGTCTCTATATATTTTAGCTTTGATTATGCAAATAAAAAATAATACATCAGATTACTCTGAGACCAGAAACAGTCAATATGATTTTATGGTCAATTTAAATTTGATGTTGCATAGCCACAGGCTGGCTAATTTAGTAAATAGTCCGATAGTTCTACCAGTTAAACTCTATTATAAACTTCCCTCTGAGATTAACAAAATTACAAAAAAAATGCCTTTAAAAGTGTAATTAAACATAATTTAACCATTATTTTTATGCTTATAGATGAATATCTAGATTGCAACGCCCCTCCGAGCGTATGCCTTAACTAGGTAAATAATTTTAACACATTTTCCTACACCTTGTTAAAAGTCAATGGAAATAAAAAATTTGTCTTGTCTTGACCATAATTTACTCTGAGAGATTTATTCCAAACTGCTTGCTGTTGTCTGCAAAGAATATAAGCTCGGATCATCACGAAGATACAAAATAACATAGTAATTAATCTTAACACACTTATTTTGATAATTTGTATATATTCGGAGTATTTTCTATTAATAATAAAATAATAAAAAAATATTGTTAAAAAAAATTACAAAATGAAATAGAGAAACGCAGAATTAAAAAACTAAATAAAGAAAAATAATAATACCAGAAGAAAAAGTAACACAAGTAAAGGAAACATTGACCAACCTTACACTTAATCCGAAGAAACTTATAAAAATCGACTATAAGTATTATTATTATTTCAAGGTCAAATACAAAAAAAATTACAAAAAAAACTTTTATTGAGGAAAACAATACCTAACGAAAAAATTGATATTTTGATGGGCGAAATCCGTGGTTTGGATTTGCCTTGTGTGGATTTTAAAAGAATTTATAGAAAGGTTTTCGAGTGAAGTATGAAAGACATGTTTGGAATAGAGCGAATTTATTTTTTCTATTAGTAAACGTAATATTATATTTAATCTTTATATTTTTAAGATACCTTAAAAGTCCGTCCCTGATGCTCTGTCCTACAATACCGACTCATTAGATGTTTTATTGCCTTCGGCAGGTTATTCCGATAATTGCTGTCAAAATCCAAAACGATGTACAAATCAGCCTTAGCTGGAGACGTAGAAGGGCACCAGATACCGAGAGTAATAAACAATAGTATAAAATTTTACGATTGCGACAATATTTGATCGCGATAACGTCCCAAGATGACCACAAGATCGTCCTTCGGCCATTTTCCTGATCCCATTTATTTCCTTGTCGTAAAACGAGCTAGCACAAAGTGCTAATTAATTGAAGAGGAAAACGTCAAAACCGCTCACGCCGCTCCCGGACCTAATAACGGGGGCGAGGAATGTGCCGTTAATAATCCAACAAATGGGGCGGCATTCGCCGCGCGATGAAGGCGGCGAAATAGGTCAGGGGGAGAGACCGCGCCGCCACCCACTCTCGGCACTTTTACGGTTTACGAGGGGCCGTATCGTACAGTGTTCCGAGCAATTTCGCCGACACACCGTGGCCCCCCGCCCCGCCGCCCGCGCCGACGACGGCGGAGCTTTTATTTCCTCCGGGGAATTTGTCCAAGTCCGGAAACGGCCGGAAAATAAAACTACCAACGGCGAAAACGAAACACGTATTTTGTCGCCCCCAAACGTCCGAATCTACGACGAGCAAATAATGAAAAAAAAAGTGACTTCGATTGCGACGACGCGAATCGGCATGGGCATATGCCATTTGAAGAAAAAAATTCCACAAAAACCTATGTTGTTCCATCAAACTTTTAACAATAAACACGCGTTTCCACTACGCTCCTGGGATACTGAAATAAACCTGTCCTAGTTTTAGCTCTAAACGCTCTAGCTCCAAAAGTTCCTCTTAACACTGTCTGTAGTTCTAAAAGCTCTCCGTCCAAAAGCTCCTCTAAAAGTATTAGCTATAAAAATCTATTCTAAATGGCCTAGCTCTAAAAAATTCGTCTAAAGTGGACCCCGACGCTGACATCTTAAATTTTAGTTATTTACTTCGTAATCGACCCCAAGCGAATTAAAATTCTTGCAAAGATTTATGCTTACCAAACGATTCGACTTTCATTTTAGGGTTATCGCACTTGCACTCGTTTGATCTCAACCCGGAGTTAAATAAAAACATCTAATTTTTTATTCGACATCGACATAAAAAAAAATCTGTATAAAAGTAATCTGTGCAATCCAAAAACGATGGCATGTATAATCTAATGGTGTACGGTTTCGCGAGACAACTAGGAATTCGCGAATTCAAACATTTTCTTCTTTCCTTTTAAAATCTCCTACATTCTTTCATACATATGTATATACTCTTAACTTGCCAATAACGAAACGAGTTATAAAATACTCTGAGCGTATTTATCGAATATACATGCAGCGTGCGAGACGAGACGCCTTTTTAAAAATTGCGCCTGAAAATCGACCCGGCCCCCCTCACAGGTAGGGGTTGGGGGGCTTTTAGCGGGATCTCCGCGCGACATTCAACTGTCACCTGCGACGCTAGCGAGCGTAAATACCTCCGAAATATATGGCCGCTGCATCGCATACGAAACGCGTCCATCGTCTGACTCTGTAAATTACGTGTTCGACCCAGTATTGCCAATATTCAGTTTTGCATACAAAACGGAGGGAGAGGGGGAGAGAAAGAGAGAAAGAGGGGCACAGGAATCGTGTTCTTGTATCGTTTTTTTTTCTTTCCGTCGTGTGATTTACGTATACCAAGCACCTACCCGGAACGTGTTTATTACGTTATAAACATGAGCTCAGAAGTGGGATTTATCGCGCCCCCCTCTTAATGGTCCGCGTAAAGGCTAAAGTTGGTACGGGTTAATATTTCACTAGCTACGTCATGTGAAATACGACGGCCGTAAACTTAATCCTTTACGGGTACACGCCAATTTGGAAATAGGCGGTTGCGAACCCATATGGGGTTAAGGTTAAATCTAACGTCGAATACGAACGCCACGTTGCCTAGACCAATCATGTTTTATGAATAGGGGAGTCTCTGAGTTATTTCCGGACACAAAACTGTCTAATAAACGTAGACGTGTAATTTATTCCGTCTTTTCCCTTGCAGAGAAGTTCAATTTCGCCGGCGGAACGAGAGAAATACAGACCGAGGACGCCCCAAGAACCCGAATTAAAGAAACCGAAAAAAGAGGAGAAGGATCTAGGTCACGTAAGTATTAAAGTACGTAATTTATAATTATATCTCTCTCTACGTTCGTGTACAGGAGATCTAGTTATAATTTGACATCCCATTGAGCAAATCAAAAGCTTGAAGCTTTGAACGGCCAGTACAAGAAATTAAAACAAAGAATAACAAGTTCAGGTTTTTAAAAAAAAACTTTTAGATCTGAAATTCATATTTTTACATAAAAAAATATGAAAAAGTTCGTGTGTCCCAAAACGCATGGTTTCTAACAAATGGGGTATTAAATAAAACCATGTATTCTGTAATTAATGTGGTTTGGATCAATTTTGGTCCATTGCATTGTCATTGTCAATTGTCTAACTGAGCAACATTGAACTAAACATATTCAGGACACCCAGTAAGCCCTTAATGGTTACAGTTCGCGCATTTTTCTACGAAACTTTAACATTTTGACCTATTAAAGAGATTTGCGAAATATCCATCCATCCAGTTTCCTAACCGATCAACCTAAACTGACTGCTTTGACAGTTTTAAGTATCAATTATTGTGTATCCTTTGCATATGTCTTTGCATTGAATCATTGTCCCAAACAAGGTACTCAAATAAAATTCATGGCGTATTGCAAAAATAAAAATTGCATCTTTTTGATTTTCGGTATTTTAGAATAACCGAACTTAGTTCCATTAAAACTGAAATTAACCGAAAATTTAGAGCAAACATCAGTTTTAATAACAATGACTTTGACGATTTGACGATTCTAAAGCCTGGATGTTCATAACGCTTCCAAAAGACAAAAGTACAATCCTTATTTATATAAATGGTTACTGCTAAAGGAAAGTTGAGGGGTGATGTTTTGAATATTTATTTTTTTTAGCCAAACTTTCAGAAATAAAATTTTATTCCTTCGGTTTTTTTCGTCCTCAAGATACAAATTAAAAAACTTAAAAAAATAATAAAACAGGACGTGCAAAAGTAATTAATAAAAAACGATTTGTTCCTTAAACCTCGACACCCTATCTTAAAAACGAAGCAATTTGGCACATAGGCTTATATGTATATTTTTTTGCTGATAAATGGCTTTAAAATCGTTATACCGGATTCTGAAGTATCTTGTATTTGAGTTACAAAAAAATTCGTCCACGCATTTTGTCTAAAATAGTGTATTAGTAGGATTGAAGGGCCCTTTACGTTGGATTGACTTTAAAATTCGCCATTTAAATATTTTTCATCGGCATTTTCGTTCCGTACAAATTGATCGGTTCGCCGAAAAAAAAAAGTGATCGTAAATCAGGCCTGACCGGGCAAAACAGTTTTTGTTCGGCTCGACCGCAATAATTATACTTTTACGTTCGTCTCGTTTGTTTTTTTCTGCGTTGGCAATGAAATACGGCGGCGAGGCGTAAGCAATTTCATTTCAGGAAACCGGAAAATAAACAACGGAAAATTTAATGGCGTTCCGCGGAGTTTGCGTTTCAGTTAGAGAGAGCGCCGGCTGCCTACGTTTTATGAATAATAAAAAATGACGTTCTCCCGGCTCTTTTTTCTTTTTTTTTCTCGCCCGGGTGAATAGTCGTAAAAACGTTCAGATCATAAGCATGCGACGTGTTGACATCGATTTTGGCTCACGGGTCGTTGGTCCTTTCTGTTTTTTTTTTTTTGCTCGTCACTGGGGTTATTACTCCGTCCAAATTTAATTTTGATATCTCGATGGAAGTGAATGCATTGGAAGTGCTGTATAATGTAACTAAACACATTTTTGTTTCAAAAATATACCCAATCGACTAGAGAATCGTCATTCACAAAATAGAAAAAAAAATCATAGTGCGTAGTTTCGGACATACATTCAATATTTCAAAAAAAAAAGCGGCTTGGGCGAAAATTCTAGCTTCATGATTGTAGTTAATGTGGAACTAAGATTACTGTTGGCAGAAGATCAAAAAAATTTCTTCCATAATTTTTATTTTAAAATCGCAAAAGATACCTCCTGGAACGGCACTGGACTGTGCAATTTTAATCTATTTGAAGCCAAATTTGTCGTTAGCCATTATAAAAGACTTAAAATTTCATCTATCTAGATCACTAATAATGCTACATCAAAAACAAAATTCGTTGTACCTCGTCAATTGGAAAATTCACCCTGTTGCCAAGTGTTAAAATCTGCTTTTTAACAATAAAGCATTACTGAAATCATGTTATAAGATCAATAATATAATAATTGATTTTGAAAATCTACATTCTTTTCGTCACCTAGATACCTTTTGCTTACTTCGGTAGTTTTACACTTTTTATTACTGACTTGCTAGGAACGAAATATCGCGTTGCATTATCAAATATCAACTAACCAAAAATAAGCAGTTTAATCGCTAGTTATACACGATGGACTTGTACGTACAAAACCCACTAACTGACGAAATAGTAAAATCTAATTTAACAAAAAACTATGTTCGGGAAAATAAAGGAAATTGTCAATTAGTAATAGTATATTATGCAACAAGTGCGGTAAACAGCATTTGACTCACGAGTTTGTTTGACACTAGCGGAGCGAGTTTTTAATAAATGAGTGAGTTAAAAAGTTTACCGAACGTGTTGCATACTAGATTTTTGTCATTTTCGCAAAACAACACGAATACATTCACTGACATGCCTGTCAGAATTGACAAACGACAAAATTCAAAGCGTGGGAAATATCTCGGAAAACATTCGATTGCTCCCAAATCCGTGCGGTAAAATCCCGGAAATGTCCGAAGTGGCTCGCATTCGTGGGAAACGAAACTGACATGGTAAAGTGACGCACTCTATATCGGTGGGTAATTAGGAATTTTACAGACGGAAGTAGAAAAATATATTTTTGTTTCACTAAGTGGTAAGAATTTAGCTGTGTAATGTAGACCATACCTAGCTCGCATACTCCAACAAATACAAAACACAGTGGGAGAGAAATCCGCACTAAATGTAGATATAAAATCTAAGCTTCTAGAATGCCCGCGTATAGCGAGAACATTTTATGCGATTATTGAATGAGACTTTGCCGTCCAATAAAACTCCAAGATCAGCAGGTTTACATACTTCCTTGCAGAGGCGTAGAATTTACTTATAAATAGAAGATTAAAAATTTTGTGTGGATGACGATACATACTTTTATTCGGATTTTTTTTGTCATTTTCAAAGGGAATGAAACAATTTAATATATTTCTGGGCTGTTGTTGACATCTCTCGTTCGTGTGCCGATTTTAAAATTCGTCGATTGAATTCGCCGTGACGTGACTTATAATCTCGATGGATTTCAAATCGCGTTAGCGTCTGCTTCTAAAACCAAGATTTCTTTATATTTGTCACGTGAGCACAAGGAAATCGTATCGATCGCCAAGTCGGCAAATGGAACAAACCGAATGCAAAAAGGCAAGAACCAAAGATCGGTACCATATCCTACTCTCTCTTCTGAATCCATCAGATTCGGAGAATCCATCAACCTCTATCGTTTATTATACAGACTGATTCATTAATAATTGGAAATATTTTAACTGGGTACAAAAGATTAAGATTTACCACAGAATCACTCATATAAAATGAGTAATGAAAATTGTTGCTTTTATTTAAATTGTGAGAAAATGGTTCTTATTAGATCCACAATACATTTTTAAATGTTGTTCATTCGTTGGAGGAAATTGTAATAAATAACATTATGCTTTTCGGTTAATTAAAGTTAAATTTAATAAAATAAAATAAAATATTAAAAAGTTTCATTTTCAATTTCACTTGACTTCACACTACTCAAAATATATGTGTCGTTTTATCTTTAACTTGAATTATCTCGAAAGATACTGATTCTATTGATATTTGGAGAGGATCGACGCGCTTCTGGTAGTAACCAAAAGCTTTTGTTTAGCATAATCTAGTAAACTACTAAACTTCCCGCCGAGAATACCCACGGATGCGTCAAATAGTTTCTTTAAAGGTGATTCTGCAGTTAAAATATTTCGAATTATTAATGAATCACGCAAAATATGTGTTGTTAAGATGGAAGTTTAGATTTTATTCAGATTTGATTAAACCCTTCAGAAGTGTGAGCCAAGAATTTTTGTTTCCCTCTTGGTCAGTATCTGTTTGGTTCACGTCTGTTTGCGGATTTCATCCGATTGTTAACCTTTAACGATTGACTGACTGACTGACTACCGCTCCCACAGCAGAGGCTCGTAAAGTAGAACCGTGCCCGTAAAAGTTCGTCCGAAACGTTTTACAATCTTGTAAACTACGGCTTAAACCGAATAGCTTTTTACAACTTACTAACTGGAATTCTGAGCGCGGATTTTACGACCGCGTGAAATCTCGACAGACGCCGAACTGAGTGAATAAATTTCTATAGTCACCCCAAAATTATACCTCTCAGATAGATACTTTATTGCTAATGACACATAAAATAAACCTGGCCAATTTAAGTGCGCATATAAATGTCGACATCATCTGGGATCTTGTGCGTTCAGATCGTTGGTTGACAGTAAGAATGATCGGAGAAGAGTTAACTTTGACTCATTAACTGAACCATTTGAACAATGATTTGGGGATGAGAAAAATCTGTACCAAAAGGCCATCAGGAGATGTCAAATCTTGGTTGTTCAAGTACGACGCAGAATCCAAACGTCTGAGCATAGAGTGGCACATTTCAACCTCTCCAAGGTCCAAAAAAGCAATAATCGTCGGTTGACAGTGAGAATGATCGGGGAAGAGTCGAATTTGACTCACTAACTCAATAATTTGACTAATGATTTGGCGATGAGAAAACACTTCCCCAAAATAGCTCCCAAAATTCTTTCGCAAGATCAAAAGAACATCAGGAAGAAAAGATGATTTGACCTTTTGAATTGCATTGAAAATGACCCCTATTTTCTGATGACAAGTCTTTGGTACTCAAGTACGACCCAGAAACCAAGCGTCAGAGTATAGAGTGGCACACTTCTACCTCTCCAAGGCCAAAAAAAACAACCACGAGGAAATCAAACATCAAATGCATGCTGATTTGTTTCTTTCATCTCCACGAAGCATTTCTTTATCAAAGGCAAACGGTCATTCGCCAGAAAAACTTTCCTCCAGCGCTGTGGAGTTTCAGAAAGAAATTATTTTGAGGGTGACAATTGAATCTATTAGAAAAATAAATAAAAAATCATTACCTAATTTACAAACCCATTTAATATGAACATGGCCATTATTTGTCAATTTGGCAGTTTTTACTTTGGATATGGCAAATTATGGCCCAAATCCCGTTAAATGTTTAAAGACAAACGAACTAAGTGTGAGGAGATCGCTGTTTAGAAAGAAAATCGTTCAAAGTGCAGTTTAGGCAGACAGGCCCCTCCATGGCTACTATGTTATAGTTACTAAATGCTACCACTAATATTTACTATAGTTACTAAATGTTAGCACGACCACTCAGTATTGTTAATCCGAATAGATAATTGGGATTGACTAATCCGCTTTTAATGGTCTCTTATTATTACTGACGCGGCCATCCAATTATGGCGGCGCAAAATTATCAACAAAACGTTCATCGTTTTGCAATAATGACGAAACACCTCTTTCAGATTCGGCAATGCGATCGTCGTCGCTCGTGCGTGGAAATAATTTTATTCCGGAATAATAAAAACCTACAATAATTTAATAACAATTGCTTTTCACGGATAGAAATCGAAGGATTGCGGCTTATTACCGTCACCTGTGACAAATTGGTGGTCGGCGAGCCATTCACGGCGATTTTGCGGCCGCACCGCGATGCCGATACAAAAAGTCCAGCGGCGGTAGCGGTCTTATTAATAACTAACGTGTCTAACGGACCGAAAAAATAAAAGAATACAAAGGAGCAACCGAAAACGGCCATTACGATTCCGGGGCCCCCTCCGGTGGGAATCGGCCGCGATTTTAAACGATCCGGAACAGAGACGTAGCAATTTTCGGTCGGAGTTATTAAGCTTTTTTGTTGGACGAGGTTCTTTTGTTAATAAATCCGGAGATTTCTCGGTCGGTCCTGGTCGATCATTCTTCTTGCTTAACGTTTTTTTTTTTTTTAATACATATTAACGACAGAGCATAATCTTCCTGATCTATACGCAAACATTCACGACATCATTTCAAATTATCACTTGCGAAATGAAATCAATTGATAAACTTAGAGCTCTGTTTCACCTACGAGGGTCGTGTAATAAGTCCTTAGAAAAAAGTAAAAAAAAAAATTCAACAATTTTTTTCTACATAATGCTTTTGTCTAAGCTTACTAAGATTACTTCTTCGTGAGACCACCAAATCATTTGTTCAAGTCTTGAAACAATAAATAGTCACTGGCTGCCAAATCTGGTAAGATCTTTTCATTAATCTGCTATTATCGTTGTTTCCTTTTCCAAGTAATGAATGTATATGATTCTGCGAGCACCCCAAAAGGCCGTGACCACAACCTTACCATCCGAGCTTATTACCGTCTTCGCCCTTTATGGAGCCCGTTCGCATAAAAAACCATTGTTTTGGCCGGTCTTTTATCTCCGGAATGTAGTAATGTATCCATTAAGAAATTGCGACGAAAAAGTGCTAAAACAGCAACACGATTTGCGGTTATTCTCTTTCATATCCATTTTTTTGTGCAAAATTGAAGCCACTGTACCTTGTGGTAAGCATGTGGCGTCAACTATTTCACGTACTTTGATTCGTCGATCACTACTCGTATGTACGACCATGTTTAAACTCATTCACTGATATGTGCCTTGAATTTCGTCCAACTCAGCTTTGATTTTTTTCGGGGCCAAACCAAAATTATTAAAGAATATTAGCGTATTATGCGGTTTATATACTTTTTGAACGCCCTATATAGAGTGTGCCCAATATAAGATGATGTACATAAAATTGAATTGAGGGGATCGAGGTCAGTAAAAGTTTCATACATACCTTTAGATGTTCTTTACTTCTTTACCGCACAAAGAAAAACCAAGAAAATATACAGAATTTTACAATAAAATTAGAATAAGTGCAGGCATCTTCTCAACACTGCTTCACAGAACTGTCTTAACATTTGCAGAATGATACTGTTAACAGCTTCTGTAAGTGATTCTCTTAATTCGCCATAGGAACTACTGTATACTTGATTTTTGAGGTGACCTCATACAAAAAAATCAAGTGGATCTGACTTGTCCCAGGTTGCCTATCCACCTGTTGGGAAATTAATCATTTAAAAAGCTCGTAATAATCTGTGCATTGTGTTGCAGTGCGACGTCTTGATAGAAAAACATTCGTCGCAGAGCCGCTAGTGAACAGTTCATTAGATCTTCTGTTAGATTTGTTTATACAATGTTTAAATATCTCTTTCAATTTTGTGGTTATCCGAAATACGAAACCAAATGTTAAATCCCCACTTCACTTGAAAATACAGTGTTCTTACGGTTAAAGAATCCACAATTAGTAAATCGGAACTCATCGGACAAAAGAACTTAAAAAAAAAAGTATCTTGACAAATTAACAACAATTAAACTAGCTGACTAGTTAGCAATGCTACTATGATCGCCATCTCTTGGATTTTATCAAGTAAAGATCCACGTATCCACAAGTCCGGCGTAATGTTGCACAGATCTGGAACCCTATAAATGGTTCCGATCGTAAAGCGACTGCGAACCTCTACGTAGCTCTGGAACTGCGTGCGTGTTGGGCGAGACTGGGGTAGTGTTTTCTCTCTGAAAGGGGTCACCATCGCCTGGATGGTCCAATGCTACACACTCCCATTTTTTTTGTCCCATCTCCATCAACTTCAGCCCAAACGTATAAAGTACCTTATTTTGTGAGCGATTTTGTACTTCTCGTCTTCAAGTTCCAGATTGTGACTTACTCCCTAGTTTAAGTATCTGATACTTTCTTACAATGTCCTTCATTTATTGTTTTCCGTTATTGTGCTCGAGGTTATAGTTTGCTGTGTAATGTCGTACGGTGCTGCAGGTTGGTACTTGGAGGATCGGGAGTCTACGCCACTGCATTAATATTTCGCATTATTTACATTTCGCCGATGCCGAAACGTGAAGGGAGGGCAGGCAATAAAAAGGTCGTAGTATTCATCTGTGTAATATATCTGACTGCACACGTGTAAAAGGACGAGACGTCGGGCCCGGTACATGCAACTGACTTGGCGATCGGATCGGATAAAGTTATGTACGCGCGCGAGCGAGACCACGTCTGCGACCGCCGCGTATGTACCGTATAGGTACTTCGAAAAAGTAGCCTTTGGAAAACGCTGCCTGATGATAAATAAACGTTTCGTGCTTCATGTGGCGCGCGCGCATAAAAACGTCGCTCGTTCCCCGAATTGACATTCGAATCGGATACTCCGAACTTGGCGGGAATTGTTATGATTATTCATTCGTGGCGGCAGGGGCGGCTGTTGCGTATGTGCTACAGTGCTGCAGTGCTGCAGAACTCCCAAGAAATTAGGAACTTACAATCGCTGAACGTGTGTTTTTCTTTTCGTGTATTTTTTAAATTCGTATTCACTGAGAACTGCGGAGGTAGTCTTTAATAATATTTATATGAAGATATTTTTTAAATATTCATACGAAGAAAACGTTATGCAGAGAAATTTAATAAAGACAATTTACTCAAAAAGTCAGTGGATTTGTGGCGATAAAGTTTGGACGGAAATCCAGAGCTTTCAAGTTTTTTTAAATAAAGACGTGTGAAAATTCTAAAAGCTACATTCATAATTGTAAGGAATTTGAGTTATTAGAAATAACCAATATTCGGGCTGAACAAGATCAAACCAATACAGGCTTGAAGTATGTCAAACAAATAATTGTGGACATTAACATTTCTTCGATTTTCGTTAGTTTTTTGCAAGAATTGCAGAACACCTTCAAACTTTTTTCACAAGCCGCTACTGGAAGGCCGTGTCGGTGGTGGAAAGCACGAATGTCGGACACCATTATTTTTCAATCAGCGATGTCTAACTTTTTTTGGGAAACCGTCACCCCATGTACGTCAGATACTATATTGTTTTCATTAAGAAAATAAAACACTAAAAATAATAAATAAATGAGATTCACAGTGGCAATACCTTGACAACAAATAATATCGAGCAATCTTTAGAAAAATTATCAGTAAGGCTCATGGCTCAATATGTCAAGGAAAGAAACTGGAATATTTGCATTTTACCAGTCACTGACCCAATTTTTTAGAGTCCTCAAATACCGTCATTATTTGAAACGTCCGATTATTTTTGATTTATTTCTTTAAAACTATTTCCCAACGTCAGAACTTCACACTAAATGGCTATTTTACCGATTGTTTTTTCTTATTATATTATGACTTATTTCCAAGTACAACTGCAGTGCGTTGGTCTTTTTCATACTGCCTTCTGATAGCTCTCGACCAGATCCAGATTAATATTTGTTCGCACTCATTTGAATTTTGATAGGTGAACGCTGCAAATCAAATCAAAAGGGTTAGAACGGTTGAGAAACTGTGATAACTTTCACTTAATTTAGCCAGTTCATTATATTACAACACACGACCATTCAATGAAAAGATATATCGAATACTTATAAGACCTAAACTGGAATATGCGCACAGTGTGTGAAATCCAAAGAAGAGTTGCAAGGCTAATCTTATGACACTCAAACAATCGAAAAAGAAGGGCTACTGTACTGAATCAAAAGCGAATCTTAGTAGACACAAAACTTGTAAAGAAGAAGAAACTGCCTCTGTGCCAAATAAAAGTATCTTCAAAAATCGGTTAGATAGTGAAATGGGGCAGTTGTTGAATGAATCATTAAAGGGCTGATTGTAACGAACTTTGAAACGCTAGGTGGCATCCAACATTAAGAAAAGTCAAAAATGAATATCCTTGTTTTATACTGCTTGTAAAAGTAACGTATTTATAACAGTTTTAATTAAAGACGTGTTTCTAAATCTTGCAGCATAGCGACGGCGAGAAGAGCGACCAAGACTTGGTGGTGGACGACGCGTCCGAAGACCCCGTATCGCCACCAAATGGAACGAGTTCGCCTAGAGAGAACGGCATCGACAAACTACCAAAAAAAGAGCACCCCGGACCCCATAGCCCGAGATCGGGTACATCGAGTAACGCGTCCACGCCGTCGACCAAGAAACTCGACGGGGAAAAACCGACGACGCCGATATCCAAGTCCGTTACGCCGACATCGGCTGCGGGATCGTCTTCGGGAAGTGGTGGACTCAAGCCGGTCGTTAAGCCGCCCACTTTGGGCCAGTATCCGCCATATTTGGCAATGGCCAATGGTAAGTTTGCGGACAGGACCGTTGACGAATGTAACATTTTGTTGTCATTTTTAGGTGGTCCGCACGACTTGCAGGCGGCTGCTGCCGCCGCCGGCGCCGGCTACGGAGGCCTTCACAACAATCTCCCGCCAGCCTTGAATAATTATCCTCGTCCGCCCCTTCAGGTGGGCTACGATCCTCACACGCAGATGCGAGCACCCGTCGTGCCCGCCCTTGGTGGCATTCCCGGTGGAAAACCGTAAGTTTCCTCTTTTCTGTTAAAAGGTTAAAAGGTTTTTACGTCATTTCTACATTCGTCACCGGCGTGCGAGACAGTCCCTTTCTATAGTTCTCTATTTTCTGTAGAATCTACACGGATTAGGTACCAAATTTGCGAAAGCAAATTAAACAATAAATTGGTGGTATCCCACAGTAGCCATACGTTTAATAACTCAGGGGTCCGCCGTTTATCATTTTATTTTTTCCCTGGATAATGAAGGCTGCGTAAAATTCCCTTTTTGACACCTAAGCGATATCGGTACTTAGACTTCTTGATTTCTGCAGTCAATGGCGCATCGGTATACAGAAACGCTCGCATCGCAAGGCATCGATTTGATAATAGAAGCAGGACTATTAAAGTTGTAGTGTGGTATCTCAAAGGTCAGATATAACCCGTTAACTCCATTTTAGGGCCTACTCATTCCACGTGAGCGCCGATGGACAAATGCAGCCAGTGCCTTTCCCGCCGGACGCCCTCGTGGGCCCGGGAATCCCTCGTCACGCGAGACAGATAAACACCCTCAGCCACGGGGAGGTTGTTTGCGCGGTGACGATTTCTAATCCGACGAAGTACGTGTACACGGGCGGCAAGGGCTGCGTCAAAGTTTGGGATATAAGCCAGCCGGGATCGAAGTCTCCCGTCTCCCAGCTCGATTGTTTGGTGAGTGGCTAATGGAAACGTTTGGAGAGATTTTAAGTCCGATATTCCTCGCGTTTACGTTAATCGTCTCTTTAGACACATAAAACTATTTCAACGATCTGGTATCATCTGTCTCAGTCTTCATCGTGTTGGCTTTCGACGGACCCTCCCAATTAACTATGTCATTACTTATTGTTATTGTTATAAAAATTTATTCTTACAAGACAGGGGTGGGCTATTTATATCTCCTTCTTTATGATATATTTCTTGACTGTTGACCACTTGTGGCAGTGTCGAATAACCGTTTTTACTGTGCGTTTCGAAAAAGTTATTTTAATATGTATAAAACTTTAATTAGCAGAGGACTTATTCAACAAGAAGCTTTAAAAGAAACCTGTCTACTTACAAAAATGCCAATATCGTCGATATTATTAATGGTGGTGAATTAACGAAAAGAAATAAATGTAGTGATTTTCAAGCTCACCGTGTAGACAATAGTGATCAGGACCTAATAAGAGGGAAAATATATTATCTTTATCAAAGCGAGGTTGTTCCTACCTTGGATAAACTGAAAAAAAAGCTAGAAGAAGATATAAGCCGTACCACTCTTCATAGAGTTGTTTGTCAAATGGGATTTAAGTACCGCAAAATAGGCAAAAGGCAAGTAGTAATGGAATCACACAGGTTACGTACTTGGAGATATAATTAAGAAATTAAAATATATAGATTAAACAGATCCATAGTTTACCTTGATGGAACCTGGTACGATACACATGAAAATGTATTCAAAGGATGAGTTGATTCTACTCAGACGAAAGCACCATCCCATCACTATACACGCTGGGTCGGAAGACGAATTTAAATATTGGATTATCGTCAAGATACAAATGCCGAACTAACAGTGTAATGGTCATCGATAACAACAACAGACGTCCGCTACGCAAAGCACCAGCCTCATCAAGTTGAAAAATTGAAATCCAGGAATATTTGTTAGACAATGATATTTATTTTGAATTTAGTTACAAAAAAGCGCAACGTTTGGAATTAAAAAACATTTTTATTCTACGTCCTCCTCCATATCATTGCATTTGTAGAACCAAGTAAAATCGAAGGTCAAAGTAGAAAGTAATGGGTGTTTTTTTTCGATGTGTAGAACTTTAAGTTGGCATTACTGTTCAAGATGGCGACCGATTTAACAGCTGTCAAGTAATTTATTCTCAGTTTGGTTTGGCAATTCATCAAACGATCATCAAGTAAGGCGTAGATTCGTCGAATGGACCCAAAACGAGATTGCCTTTGTTTCCGATTTTCATAAGCGAATTTTGTTTAGCGATGAAGCGCACTTCTGGTCGAATGGCTACGTCAACAAACAAAACTGCCGCATTTGGATTGAAGCTAATCCTCAAATGTATGTCGAAACACCGTTACATCCAGAAAAACTTACTGTTTGGTCCGTACTTCTTCAAAAACGATGATAGCCAGAACGTTACAGTCCATGGTGATCGGTATAGACCTATGATTCCTGAATTGAATAACCATGATGTCCAGGGGATGTGGTTTCAACAAGACGGCGTAACATGTCAAACAGCTCGTGTCACAATCAATTTATTGAAAAACTCGTTGGGTGACCGCCTAATTTCACGTTTTGGACCTGTGAATTGGGCTCCAAGATCTTGTGATTTAACACCGCTAGATTACTTTCTGTGGGGCTATGTAAAGTCATTGGTCTATGCGGATAAGCCACAAACGCTTGACCATTTGGAAGACAACATTCGCCGTGTTATTGCCGATATACGACCACAAATGTTGGAAAAAGTCATCGAAAATTGGACTTCCAGATTGGACTACATCCGCGCCAGCCGTGGCGGTCATATGCCAGAAATCAAATTTAAAACGTAATGCCACAAGATTATCTTTCGGATAAATAAAATTCATGTCAATCGAATAATCCATCGTTGTTTTATTGCAACTTAAAGTTCTATACATCGAAAAAAAACACCCTATATTACTTCTACTTTATGTCCCAATGTTGCAAATATATAAAAAAATGTAATTAATAACATACCAATTGAGAGCTAGAAAAATTCAGTACAGCACATTCTAAAAATTGAAGATTATTACATTTCTATCCAAAACAATTCCTATTATAGTAAATCTCATTAACGACTATGATAGTGAAACAGAATTAGATTTAGATATTTACAATAAAAATGTAATTATGTATATACATTCCTAGATATGAATTTATTTATTGTATATATTTATTGTCAGTGTTTTTTTTTAGTGTAATTAAATAAGATTATGCCCATCTAGATAAACAAAAAAAATTATTATCAAAACCTTTGTGAGTCCGTCCCTAGTGTTCTGTCCTTTAATACCTACCTTAGCCGAGATTTATTGCCATCGGCGGGTGACTTCCATAATCCTCACGATGACGATTGAGACAGACTATAATACTCTACAATAACTAGCCATGTATTCTTCTTCTTTAAGTCTATTTGTTAAATGTTGACGACCACATCTAATATTTGGAGCACTTGACATTTGTTTTCACCCATTTTCCTTTTTCCTCCAGAATGAAATGTAATATGCTATATCTTTGTGGTAGGTCGTTCTTTTTCTTAATCTTAAACTACAGTCTGTATGTCCACATTTCGAACGCTTCTATTTTATTAATAGTGTTTATCTTCAGCGTCAAAGCCTTGCACCCCATATGTTAGTAGAGATCACACATAAATAACTTTTTATATAACGCATCTGCAGTAACAGGGTTTAGGTCATTTCCATATATTATATATTAATTTATATTAATATATAATACTAATTGTTCACTTGCGCGACTTAGATACACATTTTTTGAAGTTCTTCAACATCGTAGGTTGGATATTGGCGCAGCTCTTTTACGTCCATTCATTGCTCTTCAAAAGTTTCTTCATATCTTGGTTCTGAGTATAAACTGAATAATAGTAGAGACAATACGTCCTTGTCAGACGCCTGCTCTTATTTCAGTACGTTCTGAGATGATGTTTTATTGTGATATTTGGTGCCGATATAAACTCTAAGTATTTTCTAATTTTGTCTTTCTCTATAAATTGTTTATTTTTAACATTTTGAGCCTTCTTTCCATGATCCATAATAAGTAAGTTCAAGTTTTTGTTTTAACGTGGCAAAATCTGGCCCGATTTTGAAAAAGAATATTTTTAGACCTTAAGTTAAAATATTAACATTGACAGCGTTTTATTGCTCGACACGTCATAACGTCGCGTGTTATACCATTCAGACAATATTTATAACTAGATTTTAAGCCAAACTGCCTACGATAATGACGTATGACCGCAAACGAGCCAAGGCTAGCTTTAAATAATTATAATGGAATTTCCACCGGGCTATTTAGAAGATTTTAAACTTAGGTATTTGGTATGCAGGTTATTTTCTCTTTCGCAGCAACGGGACAACTATATTCGATCGGTCAAACTGCTACCAGACGGCAGAACGCTGATAGTGGGTGGAGAAGCCAGCAATCTTTCTATATGGGACTTGGCGAGCCCAACGCCTCGTATAAAGGCGGAGCTAACATCGAGCGCCCCCGCGTGTTACGCCCTAGCCATCAGTCCCGACTCGAAAGTGTGCTTCAGCTGCTGCTCGGACGGTCACATAGCGGTCTGGGACCTCAATAACCAAACGTTAGTTAGACAATTCCAAGGACACACGGACGGTGCTTCGTGCATAGACATATCTGCGGACGGCACCAAGCTATGGACGGGCGGGCTGGACAATACCGTCCGCAGTTGGGATCTGAGAGAAGGCAGGCAGCTACAGCAGCACGACTTCAGCTCGCAAATATTCTCGCTGGGGTACTGTCCGACGGGCGAGTGGTTAGCCGTCGGCATGGAGAACTCCAACGTTGAGGTGCTCCACGCCAACAAACCGGATAAATACCAGCTACACCTGCACGAGAGCTGCGTCCTTAGTTTGCGATTCGCCGCGTGTGGTAAATGGTTCGTCTCTACTGGCAAGGACAATTTATTGAATGCCTGGAGGACACCATACGGTGCCAGCATATTCCAAGTAAGTTGGCCTTGATTCGCCCAATATATATGATATTACCCACTTACGAGGTTATTTAGGCTTCTCAAGAGCTTTACCTTTGTCCAAGATTATATGAGGGTCACTTGAAATGTTTCCGACCTAACCATGGTACAAGACATTTTTTCTCAATTTTTTTTATTTTTCTACATAGTCTCCTTGTAACTTTATACTTTTCTCCCATCTCTCTAACCCGTCCAAATAGTAGCCAGCGTTTTTCTCGGCCAAATAATTGTTCACGAAAATCTTCGTCCACCGAGCGCAGTTTTCAGATAAGGGAACAAAAAGAAGTCGCTTGGGGCTAGATCTGGTGAGTAAGGCGGATGATCAAGCAGGTCAAACCTCAATTCGTGGATTTTCGCCATGGCAACCGGTATGAGGCGGCGGCATGTTGTCTTGATTAAACAGTTTTTTTTTTGCAAATGTAGCGCTTTTTCTGTAATGGTATTTCCTTTTTTTAAGGTAATCGATTAAGATGACTGCAAAAACAATCCAATCCCAAAAAACAATCTTTCCCAGCCGAAAAAAACAGTTTTTTTTTTCGCGGTCCACTGTTTTAGCTGTATTTTTGATTCGAGCGTATAATGGTGTATCGCAAGTGTCATCTAGAGTAATTAATCGGCGCCAAAGCACGGATTTATTGCACCTAAACTGCGTTAAACGTTCATTCGAATACGTTGTTGGTCTTAAGTGAGTAAACGCGGCACCCAATACCTAAATCTTGATTTAAAATGTGACAAACACGTTCTTCCGACATTTTCATAACCTCCGCTATCACATCATCATTAAACATCGTTTAATGAACTATAGCAATCTTATCGTCTGTAGTTTCGGTTTTTGGACGTGCCGAACGTTCATCATCTCCTAAGTTCCTACGACCACCTTTAAATTCAGCTGTGCAAATTTTCACTGTGGTAAATGACGGTGGAGAGTCCCCATACATAGAGTCTAACTCAATTTTAATTTGTGTAGGCGTATTGCCTTTCAAAAACAGACATTTTATAACCACTCTATACTCAATTTTTTTCATTTTCACGAAAACACTCACATCGACTCACTCAAACGACTCTCAATTAAAAAGAACTCGTCCAAAACGGCTGAAACTTTAGTAAGTAACTATTAAGCGGTGCACAACTGCAATCACTAGGCTTTTAGAATCTAGTGCCGCCATCTTCAGGGTAACGTCGGAAACTTATCAAGTGACTCTCGTATGTAATGTAGACCGAACATATTATATAGTATACAATCAGGGTATGTCTTATGTATATTAGTTATGTAAGGCCTAAAATGAACAAAATGTTCTAAAGAAACTGATCAAAATGACAACCCTACTTTATTTTATCTAGTTAGAATTTCAACAGTTGCCAAATTCAAAATACTTAATTCGAGCAAACATTAGATATTAAAACATTTGTCTAAAACAAAATATACATATATCCTTATCGTGGAAAGACTTAATAATATATAATAATATGTAACAAATATTAAACAGAAATAAATGTATATAATTCTTTGTATAATAAACAACGATTATTATAGTGATAAAAAGTGTAACACTAAAATGTCTAAAACAACAAGCAAACTTCCAACAGAATAATAACATTGATAAATATAACTTTCCTCAAGTATCTTTTACCACCTTCACATTAAATTTTCCATAAATATATCCTACCCCCTGTTCTATATTTTACGTCGCACAACATTGTCATTTGTTGCAAACTTTGTAAACTATGCTACATCCGAAACCAAAAAAAACCAAGTCATCAAGGAGAATATTGCCCAGTTGTGTCAAAAATCTGAAAATCTCATTCTTTTAACAATAAATCATAATTTACATGCATATAGCTCTACATATCTATTGCTAGTTTTGACACTTTTTATATGACTATCTTGCGAAGAACTATCTATCCCATCATTTTCAAATATCCACATCTCATCAGTAAAATGAAATTGCCTTATCTTGCTTGTACGATCTTAGAAGTTTATTTTCTTACGAGCAACTTTTGGCAGCTCCTATTTTCGCGTTCTGGCTCATAGTATCAAATTAACAAAGGTAACATGTCCCTTCCACCTGCTATTTAACTCTTGCCACTTTAGTGTCACATTCGCCAGTTTAACTCGTTACTTATATAATATACAGACCTAAAATATGTGGAAAATAACCATAGAACAAAATAGCAAACCAATTAATTGTAATACTTATTCTCATCGACACTGTAATTTCAGGCGTCTGGTAACCAACACGATAAAGTAAAATATTTTAAAAATTGAACTGAGGTGGCTTTTACTTGATGAAAATCCATTTATCAAAATAAATAAGACACGGTGTTGTCGAAACAATTGTCATGTCATAATATATAATTTCGTGAAAATCTGAACTTTTAGTTCTTATTTATTTGGAAAATATTTTAAAATGGTATATACTTGTTCATTTACTTGACAACAATAGACCACACAATAATTTGTTTTGATGATATGCATCGGATTTTGTTTTGGGCGACGTATACATCAGTAGTAAAATTAAATATCAGTCAAATGCACCCTTAAAATGGTTCTTGATGAAAAAAAGCATATATCATATTATATAGGATATATATTGTTTACGCTAACGTAAAGAAGAAATTGAAGAGATCAAGACCAACAGATTTGTTTTTCGGTTTCAGTCTAAAGAATCTTCCAGCGTGCTAAGCTGTGACATTTCCGCTGACGACAAGTACATAGTGACGGGATCCGGAGATAAGAAGGCGACGGTGTACGAAGTCATATACTGAAGAAACTAACTTTGACGTAGATAAAGTTTAAAGAAAATGTGATAACTAAGTGTAATAAAGAAGAATAATTCTTAACGTAACGCACTCTACCAGTTAGTGTGATCTGATTGTGAGATGATGTACTAGAGTTGTTAGAAAAAGTGATCTCCCATGACAATTTTTGCGATACTTGCTTATCGATTTTTTAATTTAACGTTTTTTCTTACTGTAAATATCGGACTTGTAATTTAATTAGGCGAAGACAAAAAACAGATTAATGATGTATATTTTCTTTAGACGAAACGTTTTCTTTCTCGTTCTCAGGCTGAGTAGCGAAGGGCTTTATCTTTTTTATAACTTTTGACCGGAGGTATATGTCATATAATTTAATTAGGCGAAGACAAAAAACAGATTAATGATGTATATTTTCTTTAGACGAAACGTTTTCTTTCTCGTTCTCAGGCTGAGTAGCGAAGGGCTTTATCTTTTTTATAACTTTTGACCGGAGGTATATGTCATAATATGGACGACAACTGTACGCGGCTTCTGATTCCCGACTTCGAGGTTGTACATAATATTGAATACGGAGCGTTATTATTATAGTGCATTGTTTTCTTTTTTGTTATTTAATATTTAGCGGGGTTCAAGAAAGGAAAACAGAATCACTCGTATATTTTCCAAGGACGCGAAGGGTGAAAGGGAACGTTGCCAAAGTATTCAGTGTTGCCTACACACCGAGTTGCTCCAATTTTTGCATGTGCAAACAAAAAAAAAATTGTATCGTACCTTTGTGTAAATTTAATGTGGTTCGGTTTATATGAAGAACGTCTGTAGCATTTAATAATATCGTCTAAATTTATGTTATAGATTTGTAGATATTGGAAAAATTATCGATTGTTTTTATTTTTAATATTTAACGAGAACTGTCATTGTTTATTAGATTTTTAAAAGCACCGAAAAAAGTCACTAGTTTAGCCGAAACAGCTACCGACAGAAATCCAAATCGCAATAGACCAAGACGTGCATATACCTCATCGCAACACTAACAATAGCCCAAAAATGTATTTTTATCAACGGGGAAAATAAATTTCTGTTACTGCAATGGCAGGTCGCTTTTTATTTCAAGCGCCAATGATTGGAGTCAAGCCTGCGGGAATTCCCATTTTTTCAAAAATACACTGATAAGAGAAGTAAAATAGTAAAGTTCTCCCGACAATATACCGTTTTTACGACAATCCCGTATTTAACTTTGGTAAATTTTTAAATTTTTTCTAACGACAGGTCTACCTCGCTAGGGTTTCTCCCACCAATAAGAAAACATCCATTATATTATTATTTACATAAAATTTTGTATTTCTTTAATAGGAAAATATTTTAGAATCATTATGTTAAACCCGTATTAGAAATAAGCTTTCTAATGAGTTTTTAATATAGGAGATCAACCTATCTAATGGGCAAATTCAACTTGAAATAGAAAATTTCTTTCTTTCTTCAGTTCTTGTCGGCTAACATCTTAAATACGGCTCTGGCTTGTGGTACACGAGCTGAAAAGGATTGTCCTTTTCGCTTTTAAACAGGCGGATTTTAAACTTTCTGAAATCAAAACCATGAAAGGTTGTAAAAACGGTATATCGGTTGGTGAACTCTATGTGAATTATATAGGTAGCAGTGGGTCGTCAGTGTCAGTAACTAGTCACCAAATGACGAAAATAACAAATGTCTCGGTCGAATGATTGAAGTGACATTTTTTAAGTCCATTAGTGTCATAAATTTTTGTCGTATAAGTAAATTAAATCTTTTTTACATCTACTTAAGTCAGATTTTGGTCTTTACTGCGGAAAATTTGGTTTTTGGTTAGTTTGGCGCTTTTTTCTTTTTGCATTGGTGGTAATCGAAAGTAGAGAAACTGCCGCTGGAGAATTATAGATAATGAATAAAGATTCTTTTCTACTAAAAACGTTAATACGGACTCTTCTATTTGGTTTTTTCACGAAAATTAATATTTTCCATTTTAACTCCCCTGTATAAACGATTCTTACTAACTTCAAGACAAGTATAGGATGAAGTATCATTTCCCACATATAAATGAATTACCCTATATATTTAAAAATAATTTTAGATTGTTTCTTTTAGTCTCGTCTATATCTTTTTAACATCGATACAATTTACTTTTACGCCCTTTGGACACCCTCTAGATATATTTTTTACGTCATGGTTTTTCAATTGAAAAATTTGATAATAGTTTAAACTCCATATCTGAAATTAATCAAGTCATTTTATAATGAGATTCGGAGGTCAGTTTTGTGTCATTTTAAGACATCATTTTTCTGAGGTCAATTTGACGTATTTTTCGGAGCACTGACGAGTAGCGACCACTTAAGATCCGAAAATGATATCACTTTGACGAGCCTCTGCTACCTGGGTACTCTCCGGATCTAGAAATATTTTCATACTGTATGAAAATACTTTTCCAATTTTGGAATATTGCGGACAACTACAAAAAAAAAAGATGCAAGAATAGAAGAAATATTATTGGTATAAGGAATGAAAGCTATACACCATAACAAAATTAAGAAAATATTATTATTACCAAACAGGAACCACTTTCTTTAGAAAGGAAATATAAAAAATTGTTTGAAAATTTCATGAACTTTTTTAAAATGTAAATGGTTACTAAAATTAAAAATGTCTCACTTTTAATGTGAAAATGGAGAACTTTGACTCGCCTAATCCTTAAGAGTAGCAAATTGCTGAAGCAAATGCTGTGGATTTGAAAAGTCTACAGAGTCCCTCAAAATTTCTTCCCTTTAACCTGTAGGAGGCGTCAAATATTGACATCTAACTGACAAGGAGATAGTTTGACTTTCCGTCACAATCTGCAGCTCTTTTAAAATTTATTATTAATTTAAATTAGTTGAAACTCTTTTAAGTTAGTGGTAAACTTTCATAAAAAACCGTTCTTAATATAAATAGATATTCCGCTGAAACTAAATAAAGCAGGCTAAAATCTAAGCAACCAATATCAACCCATAATTGTTTATTTATGAATACAAATTAGTTTTGTTATATTGCTACAAATGCTTAAAATGATCTGTTGCTGCCATCTCTCAGCGGGTAGTCAAAGTTCTTTTACATTTTTCTATTACGTGCCAAAATATAAGGTATTCTTCCTGTCTTCCATGAAAGGTTTATTTTCCCAATTAGCACAAATCTTTAAATTGATAATAATTTAAATTAGTTAGTTTAATGTCTAAATATAAGTACAGCGTAAACATAAAAAAAGATCTTTTTTTATTCGCAGCTGTCGCACAACGATATTAGATATTAAAATTAAAATTTCCCAAAGACTTAAATTGAAAATTGAAATTTAGTTTTGGTTAGAAAGAAACAAGTAGAGTGAAAACTGAAGTAAGTAGACATTGCTTAGTGGTCACCGGATTTTTAAAGCGGATTTGAGTGGTATATTTTTATGCACAATAACACTAATAAATTTCTGTTGAGACCCTTTTCTCGAATTAGTAACATTAATTAATATTGTGCAGTTAAATTTACATTTATAATGACCATGAACGTTTTTGAACCACAAATAGACGGTTCAAAGAATATAACAACATATAACCTATAATAACTTTAGTTTCACAAAAATTGTGTGAGTATCTTAATTGAAAAATTTAATCAACTCAGCACAACTTGCAAGCAACGGCATGTGTTTGTGGAGGCAGGCAAATTTGAAATTTAATAATAAGGATACTCTCTATTTACGTATTTGTATAATGAAATTTCATGAGTCGCGATACAGATAACCCCCAATTAATATACTAATTGGCGAAAACATCAAAAGTAAACCGTGAAAATGTTTTATAGTACCGAATATCCAGTTAAATTAGATTTAGTTCAATAAACATAAATATTTGACCGATTCGTTGACTGTCACAGGAAAATTAGGCTTCTCCACAAAGACTTTCCGACAACAATCATACGTTTCGCAAGGCAACAAACAAAGGAATAAGTATAAGTATAATGTGGGTACAATTGGGTACCTAACGTTTTAATATAATGATGACCTTTCCGTAAAGGCAATTTAAATAATTTTCTAGAAAAAAAAGGTAGGTACCTACCCATATTTTAACCAGAGCCAATTATTTCCCCAAGTTAGGTAGTAAATTCCGAGAAAGACGCCGCCAGACGATCGAAAATAAGAACAAGGTTAGCATATGCGCGAAAAACATTTTGTATTACACAAAAAAGACCGAAAACGACCCGTCTATGTAAATAATTAAATATTTTAACTTTTAAGAAATTCTTCAATAAATTACCCAATCTACGAAAATACATACCCGCGCGCCTAATACGCAAGGCGAAACAAGTTTGCCTTCGATTTACCGAAGATTCCACAATCCGTGTTTTTTTTTTACAACTTTAATTCTAACGAAATTGTCTATTGGTTTTGCGCAAAGTTTTCAAAAAATATCTATAAAACCGTTTATGAAAACAGGGATTTTTGGTTTAGCAAGGTTATGTTTTGTTGACTGTAAGCATAACTAGGCTTGTTCCTACAATGAATCATGAATCAGTTCCAGATCGATTTACTGAAAATTTTATTGCACATGATATACAATAATTATAAATAATTAATTAACAAAATTTTTAAAAATTTTACGCTACTCTCTACACCTCGCTTGAAATTTTAGTATAAATAGTTAGAATAACATTTTCAATGATTCTTCTATACGTCAAACGGTATTAGGTTAGGTTTATATTACGCTGAAAACCATTGTGTCTGCCTCATTCTGAAGCGTTAAAATTAAATTTTAGTTTTTAAATTTTTACTTAACATGTAGTAATATAAACATAATAGCCACCTCATGAGAATGATAAGATTTAATACATCATTCAACCCCACACGAAACAAATTTTGTCCGACTTGAACATCTATCTATGTACTGAGTAAAATATTTCTTTTCCAGCTGCAAATAATTGGCAATTGGCAATTTTCTCTTATGATATACAGGGTATTCCTTAAGTACCTGTGCAAACTTCACGAGGTATTTTCGAAATTAAGAGGTTAATAAGTAGGTTTAACTTCTAAATTCCAGTGAACTGTCTGTTTTCCCCGTTTCTGCGTTTTTTTTAATTTTTAGATTTAAAGTAAAGTTTCTTCAATGTTTTTGTCAAGAAAATGATTTTTTATAAAACAAAACGAAATCAGTTACTAAAAGAGAAAAAAACTTGTATTTTTTGCTACTTAATCGGAGGAAAATGACAAAAGTCATTGCGGCACATTTTCTTTGCCTTAAAAGTTTCATATTGGAAAATTTTCTGGACCCACATAATATGTGTCTATATACGTTGTACATCGAAATCATCGGCCAAAGTACTTAAGGAACACCTTGCGTTTTAGACTACAAAAACTTTAACCAACCGTTAAGGACGCAAAAACAACCTAGTTACCAGACGAACGCGCGTTTATATTTTCTGCGACCGGCATATTAGGTAAGTACCGAAAAAAAGGCCAATCGAATTTTTGCGGCACATTATTATTCGCCAGAATGTTATGCTAATATACGGGGCCCGTCCTTCGAAAATAGCCCAATACGTTCACCTTGTTTTCGATTATTTGCCTTTGTCGGCGAGCTTTTTGCGCATTTTAATGGTGCCATTTATATGATTTAACACCGATTGAGACGCGATGATCTATCGCGGCGACCCGTCAAACGGCGGGTATTTTGCCAACGTATCGAACTACAAAATGCATTGATTCCCTTGTGACGGCGGACTTATGTCAATATTAATTAAAATCGTCATGTACGACGATAAATCTATTTCGATTTCGCCCGAGATCGTTTTCTTGAATATTAATTCGTTGGTTTCGACGTCATTGAATTTTTTTACTACAATTTTCAGTCTCAAATAATTTCAACAATTGTCATTTGAAATTTGACGATTTTTCCTTCGATTTTTAACGGTTGTTCCCTTATTTGATTTTACATGAATTGTGGATTACAAACATTACTATTGATGTCACTTTAAAGTTATTGTAAAAATACTATATTTCTAGACCTATTTCTTCGACTTTTGAACCAAAAGCAATAATGCATTTTTTATTGCATTTTATTGTTTTATCG